AAAGCGGCCCCCCCCCCCCCCCCCCACCCCCACGGCACTGCATGGTTAAGAGGAAGGCTGCCGAGGTCCCCAGCAAGCGCGGGACCTCAGGCACTGCTTGTTTAAAATTTTAGTGCCGGTCTTCTGTCGAGAACGCTGACCCAGTATCGGTGTTTATGTACAGACGGGATTAACAAGGATACCACCATTTATTTACAAAGCATTTGTTTGCAATGGTTAATTGTGACCGTTATTGATATGCCGTCCTTGGCAGTAAATGATGGACAGAATATTATTATCGGTGACAATTAACGATTTAAACAAAATACTTTGTGAATAAATCCCGGTTTTCCCCCAAGTGGCGGAACGCCAGGGCCCGGTCGCAATTGCGACTGCTGCGACCCTGGTAGTTCCGCCACTGGTGCTGAGGTTGCCTACTCTTGCTCTTATTGGAGACACAAATGGCAATAAAAGCCGGACAAGGGTTCCAAACTCCATCCAAAACCAACAGATAACATGTTTGGCTTTAGATACACTTTAATTTTGAATACTGGGATAGTACAAGAACCTGGCAGAGATTCGGGTCTTCGCTGGGAGGAGGTCACCTGAGCCCGCTGTAGAGAAAAATAATCAGACGTACAAATAAAATTACACTTTTTTTTTATTAATAAAAACCCTTTTTTTTTTGCACAATAATCCTATTTTTCTTTTTAAATACAGAAAAAAATATTTACAAATGTGCCCAGAACAGGAATTAAAATAAAGTTCTCCGTATCCTGTAACCTTAACGTATTGTGCTTTCATGAATACGTAAGAAAACCTAAATTTGTAGAAAAATACTTTACAAGTCGAGCCGCTTCAAACTCGTACGGATAAAAATACTCATTTTGTTTTTCGTAATGCAGGTCAACGGACACAACGGTTGAAAATGCATAGGAGAAGGGTACAAGGAAAACTATTCTTAAAGCCTTCAGTTTAAATGCATTATTTAAAAACCCAAGAGAAACGGGGAGCTCTGTACCCACAAATATTGCATATAAAAAATACCTTCGGTACCTGCTTATGGCACAGATATTGTATATGGCGTAATGCGAACTGCGCAGGCTGTATTGGGAGCATCAGGGGAAAAAAAATAGGCTCTTAAGAGGCTTCCTTTATCCACTGGGAACCATTTCTTAGCTTTTAGTTAAACGGTCTCTTCCAACTGGTTCAAGTAATCTCCTGACATTTGGCAAACCTCCACTATTTATGGTTAGCCAACTGTTGGGCTTAGCACGCCCATTGAATGAGCTCATAGAGAAACTCTATACACAATAATACTGAGTCAGGTGTAGTTTTTACCTAACCATTAACTCCATCCACCACCCCCAAACCCAAGAAAAGTCCTTACCTTATTTCCTGTAGGCAACTCTGGCTTTAATCCCAACATGACCCCGGATGAGTTGGGACCTTGCTGTCTACAAAGCACTGAAATAGCCCACCTTCTTATACCAGGCCCAATACACAAGCTGCCATCATGGAGCAGATTCCTTGGCAACTGTCCAGACTCCCACAAGCCCCATAAGGGTCAGGGGGGAGAGGGTTCCACTGGCAATATAGGGTGCTCAGGCAGGACAATGATTATAAGATTTCATGCAAATTCTTTTCTTGACTTGGTGTGATCTTTCTGATTGGAGAAGGAGAACTTCCATCAGTTACATGACTGTCAAGTGATAACTTGAACCTATCACCAAGAACATCTTAACTGAAAGCCACAGCAATCTATCACAGGGAGCATCAACAAAACAAAAACAAACAGCGATGATGAAACCTTAACAGACCTCCTTTGTACAAAGTAGGAAGCCATTTTGCCAGGTAAACCAGTCCTTATGTCAAGGCAGCCCATCAACCCACTAGTCAATCAAGACAACAATAACGTAATATATCACCAAGAACCCACCACATCAATTTGGCTCAAAAGATGTCTAAAGGGTCGTTTCATTGATGTGGCAGGTTCTTTCTTTGATGTGGCAGGTTCTTTCTTTGATGTGGCAGGTTCTTTCTTTGATGTGGCAGGTTCTTTCTTTGATGTAATAAACAAAGGCTAGCTAACAAAATGGATGTTCAGGTACAAGAAGGTGGCAGCGCACCTCCAAACCAATCCAGCATCTGGTAGGTGGACCATTTTGAAGTCTTGCCATTCAAAAACATTTCAGGACATAAGAATTTTAAAGGCTTCAAAATTCCTTCCTCCAGGATGTACACCTTGGCCTTGTGTCTGACCAAATGCGAAGGAAGGCCCCTGCTTTTGGAAGCCATTAGAGGTTCCATGGCCTTAGTTGGTAGCCATTGTGTCATCATTAGTAAGATTAATGGCTCTACATCCAATAGGATCGTGGGGGGACATGAGGAAGCCATAATTCTGCCACCTCGTTGACAGCCTCTAGATCCAAGAAGGTTTTAAAAAAAGGTGAACCTCTAAAATATATTTTTCTAGCTCGTTTTTTGATTCTCCTCAACCAACGGGTGCTAGTTTCTAGCAACAGCAAATTTGGCAACCAAACAGGATTGGACAACAGGGACCACATGGGTGGGGAAGTCTATTTCACATAAACAACGCATTAGTCCAAAGTGCATCATGGCTCACTGATGTTGGCAGTGTCAGTGTAATATGTGGAAAAAAAAAAAGTGATCTAAAAGAAATAAAAAGCAGCGACCGACTTCCCACAAAATACAAAATTCTGACAGGAACAAAGGAAAATGGCAGTGAGGTGCAGGTAACAGCTAACGCTCAGTGTGACTTGGGAAAGAGAGAAGAAACAAATGATGGTAGTGTGCTGGAAGTGTGCGTGATATCACAGTGCCAAGTCAAACGCTAATTTGGGATAGTAGGCCCAGATGGCAGGGCATCACGGGAAGATGTGCGTTAGAACAGCCATTGTTGCGAAGGCTTGCGTAGGATCCCGGGAATGTGGTGCGGGTGTCTAGCAGTGACCATGGACTATATGAAGGGGATGGGGATCAGGGCCGTAGATAATTTTTTTTCCTGGGGGGGGTTCAGCTTCCTCAAATTATAAGATTTTATGTAGCAGACACACAAAGGTTTGAAAAAAATATACCGGCAATATCATTCCTAAACCAATCCTTTACCCCGAGCAATACCGATTTTGCTGTTTGACACCATATGGATAAAAACCATGTGGTACCACTTATAATTGGTATCAATTCACACAAACAGCTTTGGAGATGAGGAAGGGTCATGCTTTGGAAATAGGTGACGGACTAGCAATCGGGGGGGTTGTGGGGGGTCTTATAAAGCTTGGGCAGGTCTGGGGAGCCCTCTACTGGTGAGGTTGAATAAATTATGATCCATAATTCTAAGGGGGGGCTGGGATTAAAATACTTTAGATTGGGGTGTTTATAGAAGAGTATAAAGTGCGTCAGTGATACAAAAACTACAAAATCCCAGCAAATAAATATTAATTAAAAAAAAGGAAAGTAGCACAGGCAATACACAGACACACAGGGGAGACTCCTATTATGAGAAAAGGGAAAAATCTCTACAAACAAGAACAGAGCCCCCTTAATGCTGTGGCCCCTAACAATTGGTGTGTGAAGAGTGACAGTTACTTTTATCTAAATCAGAAGTGCTGAACGTATATAAAACAAAGACTCCTAATGGAACATATAGCATATCTGTGCGTCAAGAGAGAGAGGAAACTTCGGGCCCGAGTACCTTTGAGTTGGCCAAATGGTTTGAGGAATGGGGGGGGCTGTCATAATTTGTCACATTTTCTCAGAGGGTTTTCGTGCTCATTTTGGATTCCATGCTAGTTTGGCGTTTTATGGCGTCTTCCCGAGCACCCCCTGCTGAAGGGTTCCGACTGATGACTAGATCCAGCCTGTCCCCAGCGTCGGACAGAAGAGGCACGGCCAGGCAACAGTCAAAATCTCGAGTGCGCACGTGGTTTACCTGCGTGAAAAGACACAATTTTCAGATAAGTACACACAACATTGTGTGCCCAGGTAACATCTTTTTTAATATAGTTGGGAAGGCCGGTTTCAAGTTTTTACTGCAATCTGGTGTTGTGACTGGGCCTGTGTTATTCACGTCAAACAGGTTTAGCATTACCGTCCATGCAAGTCTATGGGAATACAACATTTGCAAGTCAACTGCAAGTCAAGTGCACCTGTCACCGATTTGCGAATGCTCTGCGAAGTATCTAAAACTAATGCCCTCATTACAGATGTCCCATTGCACTCCAGACCGACATATCACTTCATGCAACTTAAGTGGCTGCTGAAATGGCCAGTGGATGGCACCGCATAGACAATTGGCGGCAAAAAGGTCACCAGCACACCACAGTCCATTTTATTGATCTGTCCTTTCTTGACTTTAAAGGAGAACTATGGGGTTAAGGCTTTTCCCCATAGTTCTACTTAGGTTAATGGGAGGACACAAACTAGCGTCCTCCCGTCACCCTAGGCTCAGTATACCGCGAGCTACAGCTTGCGGTATACTGAGACGCCACAGCCGGAGCAGATCCCGACAATTATGTCTGGATCCGCCCAGCTGCGTGAGTGACAGCTGGCTCTGCCTATCTAGAGGCAGAGCCAGCTGTACCCGCCCCTTCCCCCGTCCGTTCCACCAGTCAGCGCTGGAGGATTGGAGTGGGGAGGGGGGAATCCAGTCCCTCCCCTGTCACAGCAGAGAGCCGTGACAGGATCGAGAGGTGCGCGAACGCCGGTATGTGTTCGCTCACCTCCCGATCTACTGAGCCGACCTGTGACAGTCTCATTGTCACAGGTCGGCTAGAACTATGAGGGGAGTGAAAAGCCCCCCCCCCCCCATAGTTCTCCTTTAACAATGGTATCACACAAAATCACAACGTTTCGCAACCACATGCAGTCCCTTCAGAAGGTAAAACACTCTGATGCCATCAACACAAGTTCTCAGAGATTTCTCTTCATCTATTGTCTCAGTGACCATGGCATTGAAAATAATTTTATTGGGTTTTCTTTTTATCTGTAACTGTCAAAAAGTTAGTTCTATGAATAGCTTTGTGGTGTCGGCACAAATTGTCACATAGTTGATAAGGTTGGAAAAAGACAAAGGTCCATCAAGTTCAACCTGGATGTCTAAGTGTGAGTTTTAGGCGTTTAGCCTGGCCATTTCTTCCCCAAATCACACCAACCAAACCCATTCATACAGGTTGTCCACAGTAGCAGGAGAGGAAGCCATATTGCACAGTGAAAAGCCCATGTCATGCTGCTTCTAAAAGGTGCCATTTTTGAGACTTTCACCTTCCCAGATGGTAGAGACGATTGTGATTGTATTTTATTGTAGTTACCTGCAGGATCCGATCGTAAGGCTGGAGACCGCTCCTGTCTCCCGGACCACCAGGTCGGATCATGTTCACGTACACACCTTTCTCTAGAAGGCCGTCTGAGACGCTGAACCCAAAGTCTTCCGTCTCCAAGTCCTTCATAACAGTCACCTGGCACGAGAGAGGGAGAACTGCTGCCATTTAAAATAGGTTTCAGAGACCTGTATTTATTTTAATACTTAAAAAATGTACAGCAGTGCTGATCTGAAGACTTGTAGGTTTAAAATGATATTAATTTAATTGTTCTAAATATCAATATAAGAGTTGGAACCACGGGCATAGATAAGCAACAGAAGAGTGCACAATGGATCCGGAACATTGCTTTGCCCAGAGACCCTTTGCAGTGCGTGCCATTGCTGCACACACCATGTGGAGGTCTCACCTTGAGCAACTCGGCGCTGGAGCAAATGCCTTGTCCTTCGTCTTTCAGGATTTTCGGGTCTTGGCTGAGCTTGCCGTCTTTCTTGGGGGTGTTTCTAGAGTGGTGCGAGCCTGCCTTCCGGTGCAGGAAGCGGCTACTCTGATTGGAGTTCTCATGTAACAGTTTACTGCCATCCAGACCCAAACTTTGTACACTGCCAGTCATGATGGATGCCTGTGATAAAAAAAAACAAGCACAAGACCACCACCAAGAGTTAGAGATAAGCTCAAGACTGCATAACGGCCCTAAAACATTTACTATGCAAGCGGCAATGCCATCTCGTCTTGCAGGCATCATTTATTGTATATCTGATATTTTGCCGTCCACAATAAACTACATTGGGTTGAAAGAATAAACACAAAATACATACTGACAAAATGTATAGCACAAACAAAATGCCTTGATGGGAGGGGTTTAGTCTGGAGGAGTGGGGGGTTACAGGACAGGCTGCATTTGCATGCACCCTAGGTAATGTCCACATGTAATGTTGAGCACTCCATAGCTGAAAGCACTGAATTCCAATGGTGATGCTGGACATCCTCCAGCCAGGAAATGAGGCGGGGCTCTCTCTGACTTGCTGCATCTTCTAATGCACATTGTGAGAAGCTCCCAGTGTGCAGTGACATCAGAGGAAGCCATTTCAGTCCAGGAGAGGAGCCGGTACAACTGTGCAAGGCTGGATGTAAAAGCTGGATTGCAGCTTTAACTATAGTGGATGGAGTCAAGCACATCATGCATCTGTTCCCCACAGGGCCAGCTGGGCCAATGGCGTATATAACACGCATTTAAAAATAAATAAATCTACTGATGAATTATTGAATACAGAGCGGCATTAATTTGTACATTTTACGTCTACCTGGAGCTCAGCCCCCCCTCACTATATCCTGACTGGGTATCTTGAGTGCATCCTGTTTTCGCTGATGACTCAGTTGATTGCCCAGCCCATTTATAGAAGAGCCAGATGGCAGTCACCATGCCTCACTATCCTTTTAGTGCACCAAGGTTACACCAATAGTGGAAACAGGGTGAATGTGGTAGATTGCAGCACAGAGAAGAGGCGAGGTAGGTAGCTGCACCAGGGGCGTCCCGAGGCTGGGTGACACCCGGAGCGGGAACCGAGTGTCACCCCGCCGAGACTTCACTGCGCATGCGCGTGACGTCATCTCGCACGCGCGGCAGTATTCTGATACCTGCCGGCGGCCAATTTTGTGATGGACGCCGGCAGAGAGAGGAGGGGACAGTCACCCGGCGGGATAAGGTATGCTGCCGGGTCCCCTCCTCTCTCCTGATACTGTCGGGCGTTCGGTCCATGACCGAGCACCGACTTTTCAGAGGGGGGTGACACCAAAAGTACTGAGTCATTTTGGTGTCACCTCTCCAACGGTGGCACCCGGGTGCGGGCCGCACCCCCCGCATCCCCCTTGTGACGCCACTGAGCTGCACCCAGATGAACTTTACTTGAGAAAGGAGAACCCCTAATTATTTGTGGAGACAGTAAAGGGACCTGCATGGGCAGAACAGGAGCCCTATGTATGTATGTATGCCACTGGTTTCTTTTCTCCTTCAACAGAGATACAGTCATAAAATAAGAGTGGGAGCCTCTCCTATTGGCTGTCAACAATTGGAAACCCTTGTTTGGAATTTCCATTGGTTCCTTAAGCTCACTAGTAACCACCCAGACCTAAAATGTTCATCTTTGGTGGACATTGGTTACCTCAATCTCTCTCAAAAGCTCAGACTGTCCGCAGGTCTCCAGATCTTCCAAAGCTTCTCCGAAGACCCGCCAGAAGCCATCGTCATGCTCGGTCTCCAGGCCGTTGGGTTGGCTGGGGTATCTGTTGAACCAAACATGATGAGTCCCACTCTAGGAGCATCTTCTGACCACACTCCAGTCTCAAACTCTCAGGGCATCTTCTTATACAAACGTATAGATCATGGTCATCTCGAGAGGGACACCCTCACCATGACACGTCAACGCATTCATCAGGGAACAGCAGTTAGGAATCATGTTTAGGATACAGTGAA